TTGCTCTTGGCCTGGGCTGGAGTGCAGTGGCACGATTTCGGCTCACTGCAACCTCCGCCTCCTGGGTTCAAGCAATTCTCCTGCCTCGGCCTCCCGAGTAGCTGGGATTACAGGCATGCGCCACCATGCCTGACTAATTTTGTATTTTTAGTAGAGGCAGGGTTTCTCCATGTTGGTCAGGCTGGTCTGAAACTCCCAACCTCAGGTGATCCACCCGCCTTGGCCTCCCAAAGTGCTGGGATTACAGGCGTGAGCCACTGTGCCCCGCCCAATAATGAAATTTTTAAAAAACAAAATAAAAATAAATGAACAATGATCATAGCTATGGGGAGGATCAAGACAGAGCACCCCTATAAAGAATCATCCAAACAGGTACCCTTGTGGAAGTGAAGGGCACACCACTAATAATTCCACCAGGACAGCAGTGGTAAACTAGGACTATCTCCAGCAAACTGGGACCCGTGGTCACTCCAGTCACGTTCATTAGGAACTTATACTTCCACATTATGCGTTTCTGTACTGTTTGATTTTCACAATGAGCAAGAATTTTTTATAACTTGTGTTTATTGCTTGATAGTTGAAATATACTTCAGTGTATGATATATTTCTGTAGTGAACTCAGAGCTCAGGGCCCTGGTCCCAGCTCTCTCTTGGCTCTGGTCAGTGATCTTGGGAAGGCTGCCTTCCTCCTCTGAGCCCACTGCCCAGGCTTTACAACGTGCTGCAGTCAGAACTAGTGATGCTAGTATGGCCTGGCACACAGGGATTTAGCAAGTATCTGCTAATCCTTTATAATCAGAATATTTTTTCTAAAGGAATATGGAAATCTGTGAGCACTCTCGAGCTTGGGCAGGAGCTATAAGCACTAAAAACAAGGGAATTGAGGCTGGAAAGGTTTATTCAGGTGAGAATGAAAAAGTCCATTAGGACTTGTGAGTATTTTGAGAGGCAAGTTCTCCTGCTTACCTGTGAACCAGGAAAGGCAAGTAATGTTTTTGTTTTTTACATTAATTGATGGAGGCTTCCTTTTTTAAATAGACTTTATATTTTTTAGAGCAGCTTTACATCCACAGAAAAATTGAGCAGAAGGTACAGAAATTTCCCATATACCCTCTGCCCCTACTCCCCCCACGCACAGCCTCCCCCACTATGGACATTCCAAACCACAGTCGTACATTGATTACAGTTGATGAGCCTACACTGACACATCATTACTACCCATGTAAGGCTTACGTTACATTAATGCTCATTCTTGATGTGCGCTCATAGGTTTTGACAAGCGTGTTGACATGTACCTACCATTATAGTATCATATGAGCCAGTTCCACTGCCCTAAAAAATCCTCTGTGCTCAGCCTATTCATCCCTCCCTCCCTCTTAAGTCCTCACAACCACTAATCTTTTTTCTATTGACACAGTTTTTCTCTTTCCAAAACATAATTGGAGTCATATGGTATAGAGTCATTTCATACTGACTTCTTCCACTTAGTAATGGGCATTTAAGTTTCCTCCATGTCTTTTCATGGCTTGATAGCTCATTTGTATTTAGCATTGAATAATATTCCATTGTCTGGATGTGCCACAGTTTATTTATTCACCCACTGAAGGACATTTTGGTTGCTTCCAAGTGTGGATAATTATGAATAAGCTGCTGTAACATTCATAGTTTCTTTTTTCCATAGGTTTTAGTGTGGACATGAGTTTTCCATTCCTTTTGTTAAATATCAAAGGGAGCTATTGCTGGATTGTATGGCAATCATATGTTTAGTTTTGTAAGAAACTACGAAACTGTCTTCCAAGTGGCTGTATCGTTTGGCATTCCCACCAGCAATGAATGTTACTGTTGCTCCACATCCTCGCCAACATTTGGTGTTGTCACTGTTGGGGGATTTTAGTCATTCTAATAGGTGAATTAATGTTTTTTTAAATGAAGTTACTTCCTCCAAATTGGATGGATCACCTAAAAGACAAAGAATTGCTACTTTTAAATAGTAGATGAGTGGTTATGCAAATTAAAGTATGATCAAATCTCTCCTAAAAGTTTTAAGTAGTATGCAAAGGACAGGGACAGACTGTGAATAAATCTCTGTCAGAGTAATTGTTATTTATTTATTTATTTATTTATTTATTTATTTATTTATTTATTTTGAGACAGAGTCTTGCTCTATCGCCCAGGCTGGAATGCATTGGCATAATCTCAGCTCACTGCAACCTCTGCCTCCCAGGTTCAAACGCTTCTCAGGCCTCAGCCTTTCAAGAAGCTAGGACTACAGTTGTGTGCCACCACACCTAGCTAATTTTTGTATTTTTAGTAGAGACGGGCTTTCACCATGTTGGCCAGGCTGGTCTCGAACTCCTGACCTCAGGTGATCTGCCCGCCTCAGCCTCCCAAAGTGCTGGGATTATAGGCGTGAGCCACCACACCCGGCCTATTGTCCTTTAAAACTGACCTTTTCTCCCTATTTTCTCCCCTACAAGACTATATTGTAGACACAGGAACCTGGGAGTTTCAGGACCACCTTGAAACCAGAGTAATGGGTACAAAACTAACGCCCTACAGCTGGGGCCTGAGAGTTGCAATTGTGGCTACCAAGTAGTACACCCCAGAAAAACAGTGCTCGATTACATAGTACCAGTGGCAGAATTCTCTTAATTCTGTAATCAGTACATCCCACCAACCTCCCCACTGAGAAGTGGGCCTGCGGGCGCAGCTCCACTAAACACTGGGGAGAAATAGAGTCCTGCTTTGCTCACCACATTTTCTTTCTCAGGGATGAGGTCAGGTCTATTTGCAGTTAGAAGCCTTGCCATTTAGTCTTCGTATACAATCAGTGTCAGATCATAGGCAAGGCACTCTTAGAACCACAGAAAATGTTTTTCACCAATGCAATTGTTTTCCCATGGTTGATACTTCCACTACAGTAGGTTAAAAGAAAAGTCAGATGTGCAGCCTCTCATTTGATGTTTTCTTTCCTCTTTTCCAGGATAGAATGGTGTTGCTGGTTGTGGGGAATCTGGTTAACTGGTCCTTGTAAGTAGTCTTATGAAAACATGTTTTTGCCTTTATTAATGTCAGTAACGCTGTGGTTTAGCTTTCCTTGACTGTCATTTTTACGAAGAAATCTGAAATTAAGGAGAAGGTAGGATTGCTTGTTCTAGAGACTCAAAAAAGGTAGTAGGACATTCTCGTGTAGCAATTGTAGCCTCTCTTAAAAACACTGAGGCATTTAGTTCATTTGCTCAACAAGACAAACATCAAAACTCGTTAAATCTATGTGGATACGTTGGATAGATAGATGGTTGGATGGATGGATAGATGGATGGATGGATGGATAGATAGATAGATAGATAGATAGATAGATAGATAGATAGTTAGATAATTATACCACTGATTGCAAACATCCAACATAGCTTTAAACTCTTTCACAGAACTTTCCATAAAGACTACCCAGAAGGCCTTCTTTTCTATAGAAATTTTTCTTTTACTAAATGTATGTGTGTGTATGTGTCTGTGTGTGTGCAAGTCCTTCTTTTATTTCTTTCCCTCCCCAGTCTCTTTCTTTCTACCTACATCATTCTTCTTCCTCCTTTCCCATGGCCTTTGTTCCTCAAATGGCTCAAAATAGAACAGAACAACAGATGCATATTTTTGCTAGCCACAATTATTTTATGCAATCTATTCTCAATTTATACAGTTGAGTGAGTGAAATATTTTAGTGATCACTCAAACAATAAGTAAGTTTAACTGCTTTTATTTGTAGCTCCTAGCTGATGAGCTCCTCAGGGTCAGTGGCCTTTGACAAAACAAAAACAAAAACAAAAAAAGATTCTGTAATCTCAGTGAACATTAAGGAATGAAGAGGCATTCCTCCAGAGGAAGCCAGAATCAAGTCATGAGAATCTGAGTCTTATCTGGGGGGCATGTGCTTCTGGAAGAAGCTTCCCATGTTGTCACCCCAGGGATTGCCCCAGGATAAGATGTATACCATTTAAGGATTCCTCCTTTACTTGGGGCAGGTCAAGATGAGAGGATTCTTGGGCAGTGGTCTGTTCTTGACCACCCTTCTAGCAGACTCCACAGTCCTGGTGGTCCTGAAAGAGAGAGCACTAGGGGGAGAAAAGGGACCAGCCTCTTGATAATGAACAGCCTTTGACTATCACCGTGGGGGCTCAGAATCACTTGGCTTGTCTCCGTCTCTCACATAAGCAAAACCATATCCACGATCTGCTCACAAGACAAGGCAGATGGCCTCTCTTTGTACAGCTCTGTGAGACGAGAGGGCCTGCAGGGATGAAGGAGGTTCAATGACAGACTTCACCGCGATTATCTGATAGTGGGCTACCTCCTTCCCAGTTGCTCCATAAAGACATGGAATGATTTCCCATGAATGTTATTTTAAAAGGAATTACTTTCATATGGTCCTGAAGAAGAAAAATGGTGTGTGTGCATACATATGTGTGTATTTACATATAGGCATAGAGATGTATGTACATACATATGCATATATATATACACAGAGAGAGAAAGAGAGAAAATGACAAAGCAAATGTAACAAAAAGCTAAAAACTAGAGAATCTGAAGGAAAGATGTACAAGAGTTGCTTGGTATACTAAAGATTTCAAAATCTGGGAGAAGAAAATTTTCTATATTACACAGAACAAAGTCAGTTGAGGCCGCGTGCAATGGCTCACACTTAGAACCACAACACTTTGGGAGGCTGAGGCAGGAGGATTGCTTGAGCCCAGGAGTTTGAGACCAGTCTGGGCAACATGGTGAGACCCTCTCTCAAAAAAAAAAAAAACCAAAGTCAGTTGGAATTCAAAATGAACAAAAAGAGTCCATTAATAGTAGCTTTACACTTTAAATACTTACGAATAAATTTTGAGAGATGTACACAATCTTTCTGTAGAAAATGTAATTATCTTCTTAGGAGTCATAAGGAAAATTAAGCTAAATGAAGACAGACATCAGGTCCTGGGTGGAAAGATAACTATTGCAAAGATATCCTTTCTCAAGGTAATGTATACGTTTAGAGTTAGAATAGTAATTAAGTTAATAAGGTTTTATGTTTTATTCTAAAAGTTATTTGCCTAGTTAGGCAAAAAGTTCAAAGATCTTTGAAAAAGAGATTAACAGAAGGAAGGAGGGGCAGAGGTGACTAGCCCAGCATTGTCCAGTAGAACTCTCTGGAGTGATGTAAATATTCCACACATACAGCCCAATACAGTAACTATTAGCACATAGATATCGAAGACTTGAAATGTGGTTAGTGTGACTGAGGAAGTAGATTTTCAATTTTATTTAATTTCAGTTCATTTTAATTTAAATAGCCACATGTGGCTACCAAGTGGAACCGTGCAGGCTAGCCTAATCAGATAATCTAGCATATTATAAAATGATAATAAAATAGTGAGGCACTGATCTAAAATTAGAAATTAGAAATATGAATCAGTGAATCTGAATGGAGGACAGAAACCCAACTAGAGATACTGAGATTTTGAAAAATATATATGTGGATGTGTATTCATCAAAAACAATTTCAAAACAAGGAGATAAAGAATTATGTAATAAAGGACGTACTATAACAGAATAGAAATCTGGAACAAAATTAAAGCTAACTCCAACCAAAATTAACTTTAGCATTAATTTTAAAACCATGGACAGCTAGCAAAAATTTGATAATGAGTGTCAAGCCAATCATGGAGATGATTTTGCTTCTATTCTAAGGAACTAATCTTAAATGAAAAAAATAAGCTCAATGTCTGAAAGTATTTATTCGTTGTAGTGTTTCTTATAATAGCGAAAAACCGAAGAATGTGGGAAAACACTTCACTTCAACAAAAGAGGAAAGATGACGGTTTACATTGCATTCAGTTATGGGAACTTTACATGGTTGTTAGAAATGAATGCTTGGAAGAAAGTGTAATAAATTAAAAGTTACTTATATAGGCAAGGCACCATGGCTCACAGCTGTAGTCCCAGGGCTTTGGGAGGCTGAGGCAAAAGGATGGCTTGAGGACATGAATCCAACACCAGGCTGGGCAACATAGCAAGACCCTGCCTCTACAAAAAAATGTTTTAAGTTAGCTGTAAGTGGTGGCATGCATCTGTAGTCCCGGCTACCAGAGAGGTTGAAGTGGAAGGATCGCTTGAGTCCAGGACGTGAAGGTTGCAGTGAGCCGTGACTGCGCCATTGCACTCTAGCCTGAGTGAGTGAGTGAGAACCCAACTGTTTAAAAAAAAAAAAAGATACTTATATGTTAAAGTATTATTTTAAAAATCTACTGTTTCATCACGAGGTAAGAGTTTAAAAACAAATAAATTAAACTAAAAATAAAAGTTAAAAAAAAAAAAAAGAAACTGCCCCTTCCCCCTCAAGGGACTGGGGGGATTGGAAAAGCCAATAGTGTTACAAATCCACCTTCACGGCTGCCCACATTTCTCCCACGCCCGCAGCGCCCTCTTCGGATTGATACACCGCCCCAGGGACTTTGCCTCCTACATGCTGGGCATCTTCATCTGCAACCTTTTGCTGTACCTGGCCTTTTACATCATCATGAAGGTAAGAGCGAGCGCCGGGAGCCGCTGCGTCGGGCCCTGGGGCAGGCGAAGGCGGAGACCCGTAAGGCCGCATCTGCTTCTTCCCCGGCAGCTCCGCAGCTCTGAGAAGGTGCTCCCGGTCCCGCTCTTCTGCATCGTGGCCACCGCTGTGATGTGGGCTGCCGCCCTGTATTTTTTCTTCCAGAATCTCAGCAGCTGGGAGGTAAGAGGCCAGTTTTCTTACCCAAAAAGAACTTCTCTCTCCAACTTGCCATTTTGGCCTTTCTACCTCCCTCTCTTAATGTGTTTTCACAGTGTTTAAAATGAAAGTTTTCTCTACCAGGGATGGTTTTTAACAGCCATACATAAATGCACACTAACTGCGTGTGGTTATCATTCTCAGGGTGGCCCTTTATAAATCTGTGAGCACTATCGACATGGCAAAATTGGTCTTCATTGCATGTTGTATTACGACGCTGGTCCCAGTGGATGCTTAACGTGGTCAAAAGCCTGGAGTAGTGCATCTCCTCATCTTTCTCATAATCTCCATTCATCAACAAATACCCAGGCCGCGCACGGTGGCTCACGCCTGTAATCCCAGCACTTTGGGAGGCCGAGGCGGGTGGATCACGAAGTCAGGAGTTCGACACCAGCCTGGCCAACATAGTGAAACCCCGTCTCTACTAAAAATACCAAAAAAATTAACCAGGCGTGCTGGCGGGCACCTGTAATCCCAGCTACTCGGGAGGCTGAGGCAGGAGAATGGCTTGAACCCGGGAGGCAGAAGTTGCAGTGAGCCGAGATCCCGCCACTGCACTCCAGCCTGGGCAACACAGTGAGACTCCATCTCAAAAACCAAAAAAACAAATACCCAAGCTCACGTATCATTACATCCCCTCCATAGATAGCAGAGCCGAAGCCTAAGAAGTTACTGGTATATCTGAGGCACAGAACAGGCAGAAGTCTTAGCATTCCATCACCACAGTCACCACAATAGATTTTAGAACATTTCTGTCACTCCAGAAAGAAACCTCATACACATCAGCATTCACTCCTCACTTCTCCCTAACCCCTTCGCCCTAAGCAACTAATAAATCTACCTTCTGTCTCTGTATATTTACTTATTCTGGACATTTCATGTAAATGGAATCACACAATACATGGCCTTTGTGTCTGACTTCTTTCCCTTATATGTCCTAGGTTCAAGCACGCTGTAACATACATAGTGCTTCATGTCTATTCATTGCTGAATAATATTCCATTGTACTGATATGCCACATTTTATCTACCTGCTCATCAGCTGATTGACAGATTGTTTCTATTTTTTGTGTCGTTATGAGTGACGCTGCTGTGAATATTTGTGTACAAGTTTTTTTCTTGAGGTAAAATATACGTATAAAATTTGCCATCATTACCATTTTAAAGTGTGCCATTCAGCGGTCATAAATACACGTACATTCTTTTGCTTTTCCCCTCATCTCCCTCTCCCCCCACCCTTCCTGGACTCTGGTAACTACCAAACTATTCTCTGTCTTCATGGGATCCACTTTTCTAGCTGCCTCATGTGAGTGAGAACATGCAATATTTGTCTTTCTGTGCTTCACTTATTTCACTTAACATAATGGCCTCGAGTTCCGTACGTGTTGCTACAAATGGCAGGATTTTATTCTTTTTTATGGCTGAGAAGTATTTTATTGTGTTTGTATGTATATGTACATTGTCTGTGTAGATATGTGTATCATATTGTCTTTGTCCTTACCTCCATTGATGGGAACTTAGATTGATTCCACATTTTGCCTATTGTGAACAGTGCTGTAATAAACATGGGAGTGCCGATAACTCTTTGACACACTGATTTCTTTTCTTTTGGATATATATCAAGTAGTAGAATTGCTGAATCATATGGTAGCTC